AATTCTTCCAGTCGTGTGTGACATGGTGTATTATCACATACCACGACAACCTGCCGGAGCTCCATCCACCGTTTCAGGTTGTCTAAACAGCTTCGTAGCCATTCGAGAGATAGGGAGACCTGTGAATGAGCCTCTCCGGGTGGTCACCGACACTTTCTCTTCCATTGTGAGTGCACCGATCATATGCAAATTAAGGCCTCTATTGTCGGTAACTTTGCAACAGCTCCTCACTCTTCTGGACGCCAAACCACGAATAGGTTTGCAGTAAACGTTGAAGTTCGCTTCGTCAATCCAAATGAAGAACTTGCCATCACTCTCAAGTTGCAGAAACTGCTGAATGAATTCTCTGCGTATCCCTTTGGTTCGCTCATTTTTCATTCCTTCGGGAACCTGATAGATATTCTTTATAGTTATCAATCGAACATCCAGGCGCCATGCGACTGTTGACTTCGAAATGTCCTTGTCCATTTCTGCCGGTACTCGTACTCGCATTTCCCGTAGCGTAAGAGTTGAGTCCCTTGCGATCCAATCCAGGATGTCATCTACGTCTTCTTCCGACAGAATCCGCTGACGAGCACGCGGCTGGGTAGTACTCGGCTGCTGATCAAGAGAACGACGAATCCAGGAGGAGGCTGTTTGATATTTGACGTTGTTCACAGCTGCCAGTCATCACCGTTGAAGAAGGCGCCCAAAACTCGGTCACGAATGTCTGATGAGATAATCTGTCGAACGCGAGAACGCATGCCCACGACGTTAGTATCACAGACATGGTTTCGGTCGTGCGCTTATGTTCCAGCTGTTCATTGCTCTCAGACCAATTGTGATCCACCGTTTCGGACGTGAGGGGGGCGCATACAAGCCAGTTGCACTGCCGAAGTGCATTCCTCTAAGGTTCATTCACAAGTCTCACCCAGTCAACGGGCAGCGCGCTCACCTCCCCAGACTAACGCACCGAACCTTGGCATCCGGCCAATGAGAACACACTTAAGGTCAGAGGATTGGCTCTGAGCGGCTGGCGAATCGCGTAGGATTTTGCAAAATTTCGCGCATTCTTTGCAAGATTTTGGGCCTTTTATGCAACTTTGCTGGAAAACGACATAGTCTGTTGCTCGCTGGCGCAAGCTGGACGGAATCTGTGGACGCTGGTGTAGGAGTAGATGAAGCCTACCTGCATGTCTCAGAGGCACTCAACCGCCTGGACCATCACGTTCTACTGTACAAACTCCAGGATCATGGTATCAGCGACTTTCTCGTTCAACATCACCTGAATGTGAGGGTTCGCAGTCCTCTGTCGGAACCAATCGAAGTTCACAGCAGCGTATTCCAGGGCTCGGTACTCGGGCCCGGCCTGTTTCTGGTCTTCATAAATGATCTAGCAAGCGTGCTATCTTCAAACTGTCTACTAGTTGCCGATGATGTAAAGATATGCCGTTCTATCACTTCAGTGGAGGATCACACAGCCCTACAGGACGACCTGGACAAAGCGTACACATGGTCCATCAAGAACTTGCTGCAGTTCAACGCCATCAAGTGCAAAAGTCTGAGCATACACCATCAGAGTACTCACAACTACCGGCTAGGGCCACAAACGCTACAGCGTGCTTCTCATAAGTGCGAGCTCGGGATAATTGTGCAAGATGACTTTGGTTGTTTGAGGCAGGCTGAGAAGGCATCAAAGGAAGCAAACCAGCACTTTGGCCTTCCTCGTAGAGCGTTCGGATTTGACGCCTGTCTATGCAAAATGCTTGACGCGTAAGTGAGGCCGCATGAGGAATACGCTATCTAAGTGTGACCATCCTGGCAGAAGCACCACCACATCGCATGTGATACAGCACAACGCAGGGCGATGAACGTCAGTCTTGTCTCATCTTCCCTACCCACTCAGGCTGAAACCTGAAAATAAAGCGGACATTATAGGCATCTACAGGGAGATCTCAAGATGGTGTAGCGGATCCTAAAAAGTCCGACCACAAATGCTCCTCTCTTGTGATACTCAGTTAGAACATATCACTAAAGAGTACTCAGTTTAAGTTGGCAGCGCAGTACAGCCGACTGGAATGTCGACGAAACTATTTTCTCTCCGAGTGTCACAGCTCTGGGAGACCCTTCCGGCTCGTAATTAATGCACCCACCTTATCTGCTCAGTTCATTTGATAAACTATGATCCGAGCACCGAAGTGCGGTGGATCCAGTTGTCACGACTGACATCGCAATAACAATAAATATCAACAGGCAGGTAGTGGGTTGGATGCAAATAGAATGTAAAGAAAATGAAAGCAAGAAGGAAATACATTAGGCTAATCTGAATGGAACGAAAAGTAACGACCAGATGCAGGAATGCCACTGACTACGTGACTGCGCCATGTCTGATACCGTCTCCAAGCATTGGTGTGGACCATCTGAAGGCCCCCATCAACGAAGACGACACCACCCTGAACAAGCCTCTCAGACAATTTCTTCAAGTCTTTATGCCATATAGAATGGAAAGTAATTTAGCTGACACACCCTTCATGGATAAGCAGTGTTACAAACTGGCGCGATCAACAGAGTGAAAGGCGGCCTTCAAGTAAAAGAAAACCACATTGTCGGTCGTCTGTATGTGTGTCTCTGCTCCAACACTTGGCGAAGAGTAAATATATGTGGTCGACGTAACCACGAACAGGGCGGAAGGCAGCCTGGCTTTCAGTGATTCGGTCCTCACGGTCCTCGAAGAATGATACGAGTGAGAAGTTTCGAGGCGACGGAAATAAGTCGAATGCCTGGATGATTTTCGCACAAAGTACATTGACCCTTCTAGAAAATGGGCACGACGGTTGATAGTCACCAGTCTGAAGGCACTTCTTCAGTGTCTCAAATCGTGTTGAAAAGAGAAGCAAGTCCAGTGAACAAAGAATCACTGCCATCTTTCAGCAAAGATGGAGGAAGGTCGTCGGGTCCAAGAGTTTTGTTTCGTTTTAACACGGCTAGCTGATGTGGAATCTTTTCCAAAGTAGGTGTGGTATTTAGTTCCCACGTCGGCTCAGGTGATTCGGCAACCGGCAGTCGCAGCAGGCCGGCTAAAATGCTCTTCAAAATGTTCCGCCCAACAAGTTAGTCGATGATGCTGAGAATGGATCAACTGTCCATCTTTCCCAGCTATTGTCTTGATAACTAGTGGCTTTCTCGGACCCGTGTTCCGGAGGAACAGCACTCGGCTGTTTCCAATAGCAGTGGCTTTCTCCATCTTACGGGCTTTGTAATCCACCAACGCTCCCTGTGAACTCGAAGACTCCTTGTCAGACGCCGTTTCGGGGTATTACGGACAGGTTGAAACTTAGTTCCCATCGGAACCTGCTTAGGTGTTTCGATCAAGCTGACCGATGCATCAGAGATTCATTCAGTCACATCGTCTCAAGTCAGGTGTACAGGGAGCGTCAAAGGCATTCTTCATGGCACACTTGACATGATCCCAGTCAGCGTTCGACTTACCGACCTCATTCACCACTGACAATTAGTGAGCCAGTTCGCTATGATATTGTCGAAACGCAGACAGCGAGCTCAAGTTACAGGTAAGAAGATAGGTGCTTCTTTGAAATAGGAAGAGTGACCGCCAAGTGTGCGCGCAGTAGAGCATGGTCGGAATCCAGGCATGTACTCCAAACTGGCCGACAGTCTGATGTGCGCCACCTGTAGCTGATGATAATATGGTTAATTTGAGTCCAGGTCAGTGAGGAATTCGGTAGGCGCCAGTTGATGCGGTGTGAACGTTTGTGCTGGAAAGCAGTGCTACTAATATAAAGATTGTGGTCAGCGCACAGTTTCAGGAATCGATCACCATTGTCTGTTCGGCGTGCATCCATTCCGAAGCGCCCTTCCAGGTTTTGTTCAGAATTTGACTCCCAGCTTATCGCTACCGAAAAAAAAGCGCATTGATCTGACACATTTACACTACGTGAAATAGCCCACGACTATCAGATGATAGCATTAGTGCGAAACAAACAGTGAACGGGGTCATACAGCGTTGCTAAACTACAGGCAAGAATACTCGCACATATGCTAATGCAAACCCATTGGTCAGTCATGTATCTTACGCGTTCTTTTACTGACACCATTTATTTATTTCGTAACGTGCTCCCAAACCACCCTACAGCACATGTCAAGCATTCGTTTGTATACCCGTCAAAAACCATTGCTCCACTACTTAGCCTACTTCTGTGTTCGACGCCGAGTTATCAGAAGGCTTACGGATTGTGATGATGCGAGGCAGTAAAAGTAACAATAAAAGGGTTCCGCTGTTACCGACCCATCTTAGTACCATCGCCAGGTGCTTGCGATTGTGCGTCGCTGGTAGAGTGCAGTTTTGTTTACTGTTATTAGGGTTCTACAATACGCCCCTCCTCTTCCCTAGTGATTAGTTCCCATTCCTTAGGTCAACATAATTGTATGACGGGGGAATCATTAGTTTAGACTGCTGATACTGTGCCGCTGCTGCTGATCTTAATATAGGATAAGATGGGGATATCCCGGAACCACCGCACATCTCATTGGTTACATGCACTAGTGATCCCGGGATTGGTAGATGCCTCTGCGTACAATTAAGAACGGTTGAACTGTCAATCACCAGCATTGCATAAGCTGCAAGCGGAAACGGAATGGGGTTGCCCCTATCGTCTCCAGCTAGTGTTGTAAGAGGAGGCTGCAACGGTGGTTATCTACTGCAAATGGTGTAGCTACCCTGACCGCTTGAACATGGATCCTAATGAACCGATATGACGGTCGTTTAGCAAACCCAAATTGCTATCATTCAGAGGGTGAGGTAGACAGTGATTGCTCGAAAACGTCCCGTTCACATTTCTCAGTTGTTTCGCGCTGACCTTAATGATCATGTCATTGAGTAGCAATTGAATAGGTGTGCATTGACTACTGAATGCAGAGTTTAGGGCAAATGTCGACTAAAATACATGAATCCGAGTTAGACGGAGGAAGCGCTAGATACTGCTCATCTTAGACAGAAAATTACTCAGAAGTACCCCATGATTGTAGACCTTGTAACCATTTAACAATGAGGCCAAAAAGAAAATAGCATACAAAGAAATTGTTGCAGTCAGTCGCAAATTTGAAGGGCCCAAACTGGGCCAAAATTCGTCGGAAGTACGTAAGTTAAAAAGAGGAAGTGTATGGAACCTAGTCAAAATAATAAATGTTCATTTGTATTGCACATGAACACTGCGGTCAGTAGGAGTAGAAAACAGCGGGAATACACCAAATGAGAAATGGTTAATCCTATAAAACAAGGAATGGTACTGAAAAGAGAGTGAAGGGGATAAAATGCGCGATCTAATTTGGAACTAGTTAGCGGCGGAGGCGCCGGGGTCATAAGGACGCACAATTTGACTAGATGTATACAATGTAAGGACGGTGATAAAAATGCAGATGATGGTGATGTTAGAATGAAAAGGGGCATCCAATCACAGAGGATTGCGAAATAGTTGCGATGGAGCACAAAGAGAAGTGTAATATTATGCAACGATCGGTTGAGCGGACACAGTATGACGAGGAATGGGTCAAGTGGGAGGAGATTGGACGCCGGTTATGGTCGAGTAAAAGCAGCAACTCTCTACGTAATGGATGGCGACGTATTTGGGCCAGAAGGTTTCGAGTGGAGAGATCGGCTAGTCATGTCTGGCTCCAAATAGTTCCAAATTAGGACTCCACTTGTACCTCGGTGTATCGAATCCCATTGTGTCGCCGAGTGAAGCAACATAACAGCAATGCACACAGAAGCCCAACGATCTAAACAACAACAGATGTTAAAGAGCACGAATCAAACGTAACAGATGGTGAATCAGAAATTCTAAATTCAACGATAGGAAATTGCGTTTTTATTTGTCATAATCAATATCTATAGGTGCCTGCTTGAATCACGAAACAAAAAAATGATGCTGTGTCGCAGCAAATTTTCCTACTTGAAAGTGTTGACGTTCAGTTTTGCTAACACCTTACCGCTGATCATTATCACCAATACACCTTAGCTGAGACAAACACATCTCACCTTTATGTGCCGCAATACAAAAAAGATAAGATACTAAAGATTAGGCTACAAAAGATTCAAAAAAGAAGATAATGCTAAATATCACTATTCATTTACTATGAAACGTAATTGGAGGGGGAATTCAAAGAATGTTGGGATGGACAAAGAAACTCACAACACAAACGCCATTGGGACCGCTTCTTCGCCATATCAGTAACGGTGTCCAAGCATAAATGTTCATGATCTTTCGGTCCCCAGCCCGACGATCGTGAAACATCAAGCGAAGCCAACTTCGAAGGAGGGGATTTCATTCCCCTCGACCAAGTCATCATGGCGTCCCCTCCATCTCTTCTAGCACACCCCGGGCGCTCAAACAACGCACGTCGCTGGGCTGGCATGCGCAACATGTGGCCCAACCATCGGATCCTCGTGCGTGATATAACGGTGCTGAGCGGTTCACTCACTTTTCCTGTACCGAATACACGACACCGAACACATTCATTGCTCATGCAGTGCTCCTATCAGACATGAGCTAGGCTGCGAAGGCAGTGATGGTCAAACGTAGCTAGCCTTTTATGTTTGTCAACTTGCTGAGCCAGGTCTCACAACTGTATAGGAGGGTTGAACGGATGAATGCATTGTACACTCTACCCTTCAGGGAGAGGGTGATGTCGTGTCGGCGCCACAGGTGCCGGAGATTGACAAAAGCACCTCGAACTTCGATCCCACAAGCACTAATATAGCTGCCCATGTACTTGTATTCCTGAACGACATATAGCTGATCCCTACCACGGGTCAGCACAAGAGGCGGTCCCTGCCATTCTGGGAGGAAAGCTGCGCACTTCGAGGGTGCAAAGCATAGCCTAAAACGACTAACAACCAGTGCTAATCTGTCCAGTGCTGCTTGGCACGTTTGTGAGCTGTCACGGATGAGAGCAATATCGTCAGCATACCAAGGTCAAGAAATCACTCACCAGGAAGCACCTCCACATCTTATAAGTTGTGTCCAGAGAACGCTGTTTCCATGACTTCATCAGCGGTGAAGTAAAAGAGGAAAGGTGATAGCGGGCAACCTTGTCTCACACCGCTGGAGATATTGAGGGGCGCCGACAGTTTGTCATAAACCCTCACTCTGTCCAAACTATGAGCGTACAACGTTCTGATAATGTTTACGTGCTTTTGGGTACACCTTTTCTGAGCAGACAGTCCCAAAGGGCACATCGATAAACCGATTCCAAGGCATCTTTGATGTTAAACACGACTACGGTGGGTCGCCAATAAATATGGCGATGCTCCAACAACTGGATTAAGTATGTGGTCGATGCAGCCTCGATATCGACGAAACCCGGTTTGCTCGTCGCGAATCTGGTTTTGACGGGTGTCATCAAGTCTGTGGAGAACGACAGACGCATGCAATTTAGAGGCATTTGAGATCAAACTGATTCCTTTAAGATAGCCGCATTCGGAACGTCAACCCACCTTGAAAACTGGGACTATCACGGAGCGGCTTAAGTCGGTTGGGACGGTTTCCTGTTCCCACAGTTCCATTAATAATTGGTATAAATCATGTAGGAGAGCAAGTCCCCCGATTTTGAAGAGGGATGGGGGGATTCTATCTGCCTCTGCAGTCATAATAAATGTCAACGGTCTGTTCTAAGAGGACGGGCCAGGGAGTAGGGCGATCAATGGCCGGTGGAAAAGCCGACAACTCTGAGTGATTGGACTGTCTCCCAGTGTTCGGCCATACGCTTCAATCGTTTTGATAGGCTGTGTATCGACTGTCCACTCTCATCGTGTACGGTCTCGCTAACACCAGGTCTCCTGCTGCCTGTTTCCCGTACCAGACGGAATAGCTTAAGATGATTACCAACGGCAGCGGCTGTTTCCATTTCCGATACATGATTAGATCACCAGGTTTCTCGGTCTTTCATCAGGCTAGTGAGAGTCTGATTGTATTCGCTTCCACTCGGAATAGGTCGGCAAAGGAATAGTTTGGCTAGCTCAGTTGTTTTGCTAAGGCCGTTCGGAGCTTTATACTGTTCTAGAATGAGTTTTGTCGTTTTGATGCCTCCGTTCTTCAACGAGCTTGGACTGCTGTAATAATAGCGCAAAGTCAGCAGTTAACCTGAATTTCTGCCTTCAACGCCTTGCGATCAGGTTTATGTTTAGTCTGGTAAGCACATTTTAGTGGTACTGCTGTATCGATGCAGAAGCCAAGTATACGATAAAACACGTCTGTCGCATGTTGGGGACATGAAAAGAGAAAGAATTTATTCCAATTCATCGAACGAACCAGGTTCTTGAAAGAGTCCCAGTTGACAGAACTGAACAGACGATAATGCATTGTGTTCTATACATCGGCCATTAGGCGGCATTTGATCATGCGATGATCGCTCTCCGGAAATTCAACTTCGTCATAAAAACCAATTATGTATCGATTCACCCGGCTTGAAGAAGCTCTTGCGATAACAGAGAAACGTAGACACAATAGAATCCTACACATATAAATCAACAGTCCAAGGATTAGACACTGAGCCATGTAAAAAAGCATCGAACTAAAAGGGCAGTGCAAAATGATCAAAAATAGAACAAATGAAAATATTTTGTTCCTCAGCATACGTCGAATTTTTATTTATTGTCATTTTCACAGTTTGATGGATTAAACATGTGAATCAATACGCTTATGTACACGGTTCTTCCACTGATTCCGATTAAGCGCCATGTCTTCAAGCGTGCCAAGTCATTGGCACTCCTCATCCAACATGCATCCCCATCCAGGCAGACGTACGGATCTACCGACGGCTAGACTCGAAGTCCATGACTCCATGTGCTGTCGCTATGTGGAAAGCTGACTACTACGCGGTCAACTCCATCGCGGTCCTGAACGAACGAATAGAGCGTAGCGTAGCAAGCGCTCAAGCGCCATGCGTAGGACATGACAAAATCATCTCAATTGAAGGGAATTACTCGTATTCCCCAGGACACGACGTCTAACGTCATTACCGTGAGCTCGGTGTTGCCACCACATATGACCGATTCTCTGCTAACAATCAATGTGGAAAGGCGAAAGACAGCGTATGTCCTCCACGCGAATTGGCTAGGACTCGCTCCCACACAAAAGTAAAGAAACAGAGGCACCATAAGCCCCGCTTTTTATCTAAATGGGGACGTCACATTCACGCCACAAGTGCCTCAGATTGAAAAATACTCATCGACCCTTAGCGATGCGGAAAGAAACTTCTTTGCTGACAGTGCCGCCAAAAGAAACAAGGCCCCCGAAATAGACGAAACTATCTACCTATTCAAGTTGTGCAATTGCCAGGGTGCGTACGGGAGCGGGAACGTGCCAATCACCAAGCAGTAGTTTACACTTCGAGGGGGCGAATCTCTTGCTATACGTAGATATTTCAACCACCAAACGATTCAGAATGTGCTGCACATTCTGCGAATCATCACCAAGTAAAGCGATATCATCAGTATTGTCCAAGTCGGTCGTGCGCTCACCCGGTAGAATACCTAAGCCAAAATTTCGGAAACCTACAAAAGCTGTCGACAGGATGTCTTCGATTGCAAAGTTGAAAAGGAGTTGGGACATGGGGCATCCGTCACAGACCGCTGTTAACAGCGAAGAGCGAGGAAAGCTTGCCATAGACCCTCACTGTGTCGAAGATATGAAGGTAAGGTGTGCTTAGGATGGCGGTATACTTCTCTTGGACCCCGTTCTTTAGCAAGCAACGCTATAAAACGGGCTGATCAATCGAGTCAAGCGCAGTCCGTATGTTCTGGAATGCGACGATAGGGGGCCTAAATGTAGCGGTGTTTGAAGATTAGGCGGAGCGTGAAAATTTGATTCACGCATCCACGACTGAGACGGAAAGCAGCTTGTTCTTCACCGTAGTACGATTCACGAAGCAGGATGAACACCAGTAGCTTGGAGTTAAACGAAATGAAACTAAGCCCTCGATGATTGATGCATGAAGTTTGACCTGCTTTCTTGAAAATCGGGTTAATAACTGACTCGCTCTAAGAGAATGGAGCTTATTCTTAATGCCAGATTTTTGCAAACAACAATGTCAGCCGGTTAACCACTTCCGGGGGAAGTTCATCTAAACCGGCAGCCTTGAATCGCTTCAAGCGTCGAATCTCGAGACAGACTTTCGCTTCGCTGGATGGATCCAGTGGGGCGAGTTATGGTAAACAGCAGTGTACTGCTTGCACGGATGGACACTGGAGGCCAGTTGAATTGCGAGTGAAAGTGATCGGTCTAGCGATCCAAACGCCTCCGTTGGCTGGTGATTGGAGATAACTTCACTGACACCGGGCCTCCTGATGCCAGTGGACCGAATAAAATGGAGAATCTTGTGTGTTGTCAGAGAGAGAGAGAGAGCAGTGGTCTCCATCTCCAAGGTACGGTCAGACCACCAAGCCCCGCGATGCTTGCGCAGACTTGGCTTGAGCTGCGGGTTGGTAGACCGGCGCCGCTTGTTGTCATTTGATTCTGCCGGGATATCTATCCGGCGGTCGAACAGTTCCATACCGTACAGCGTGATAATCAAGCAACTGTGGTAAACGGCAGGTTAGATTTATCAGACCTATAACGTACTGCGCGATGGCTGTCTGGTCTAAAGCGAATGATAGTACACCAGAGACCTACAGCTTTCCCCACCTTCTGACAGTTTCATGCTGATTATAGTGGTGTATGGGACAAAAAGAACTAGTGTAACGAGATCCACAGGATGGCAAGCATAGAAAGAAAGTCGCT